GACCTATGTGACCTAGTCTCCTGGTTAGAACTTTCATACCCTCATGCCAGGTCTTAATTTGACCTTTCTTGGTCTTTTTTCAACCCTACCTGCCTCGGCAAACATCGCTCGCCGTGGCAACCTATCTGGTAACATGCGTAGCACATATCCCAGACAGCGTAATCTATGAAGGTCGACCACTTGCTCCAGTGGACGACCTCGACTACCTAAAACTCTACGCCTAGCCTCATCATTGCGAGGCCGGTTACCTCGTCAGACTCGTGCAATGCGACGTAGACGGAGGTGTTCGAACACCGACAATCTATTTTTATCCTGTTCCCATAATGGCCAAATCTCTACACCGTAAAGGGGAGTTTCCTTGGTTTCCAATACTTCGAACGTAACGTTCAGTACAGAATTGAAGTTTCCGCTTTGATGTGATGTCCCTTTTCCCTTGTTTCCAGAGGTAGTCGAAACACACTGGAGCTACACAGATGATTGCACATCCCAAGAGGAATACTAAATTTTTGGCGACCCTTCCAGGATGCCCAAGAAAAGTGTACCGGACGTCGAAGAATAAAAAGAGCAGTCGATTTTTTCTCTACTTGCGAGATTCTTTTCGACACTACTGTCCTTACTGAGCCCAGTTATTGCTGGCGTTTTTTTCTGTACGAAGCCAACCCCTACACTTCCACAGCCGTTGAAATTCTCCACTGGGGATAACTTCCGAAGATGGGCTGCTGACTCTCAGGATTATGTGATTTTATTCCCACCGAACGAGAGACGCATTATGTTACTATCCCTGCTCGACGGTCAGGCAAAAGACAGTCCGGGTTGAAGGCATACTTCACGGCGATATGACGACCGAGACGCTGAACCAAATTCGTTATTGTCTGTGCAACGATCGATTCCCAATTGAACACCTTCAGCGATTCCAAGCAAGAAGACAGTTCCTCACAGAACAGTGGTCATCGTTCATCCTCGAACTTCGTCATTTGGCAGAGGGTTCATTACCCGAATTATCTCGAAGATAAACACATTGATCAATTGTGCATAGGCACGAGAGACGGTTTCTTGCGACGTTGCCGTGTTTGAGTCCTGCTCGATGCTGGCATTAAAATTCGTATTTGCGGAGCGTCTCCTGCCAGTGTGCCAATTGACCTTCCGGGTCTCGGAACTTCTGCAATCAGAGTAATAAATTGTGATCTGTGCGCAAGAGGAACGCTCGGCTCAAGAAATAAGGTCGAAAGTGTTTAACAAAACGGACAACAGCTAGCATCTTTCTGGTAGTTCAATAATTGCGCTCACGCTGGGACAGTCTTCGAGTGGCATAGGCGATGACACGTTCGTGTTATTGGGCATTCGCTGTGACAGGACAGTACCAATAGCTAAATCGCTGGCGTCAGTATCAAGAATGAGGTTATCTGAAATTGGCGAACGGACTGTGTAGGCCAGGATCGGGGGTGAACGCAAACGCTTGCGTAGATCGATAACGTTATCTTCCGCTGTTGTAGATATAAACGGGGCATGCTTCTTTAAAAGCTATCAGCGGAGAGGCGATCCGTGCGAATTCCTTGATAAAACGGCGGTAGTAGGATGCAAGACCCAAGAAACTTAGTAAATCACCTGCATATGTTTGTGTTGGCCGGGATCGGACTTGTTCTATTTTGGTTGGGTTACACTGAATACTCAGGGTAGAAATAACATGTCCCTAAACATTAACCTCTGGTTGTAGGATTTTGCACTACCCGGGTTTGAGTTTTAGTCCCATTTGATGAAATCGTTCGAGAGCGGAGCGAAGGTTGTCGTTGTGTTCCGTCAGTGTCTTCTCATTTAGCGGGAGTTTCCTATTCTTCGTCTCTCCTGCAATGTTCATCATCTGAACCTGGTTGCAGCGAATGAAAGAAACAGCTAGATGAATATAACGGCACATTTACCTGGACATAAACTGAAAT